AAACAACACAACATTAGAATAAGCAAATACCAAAAACATCCTACAAATATGATCCAATTTTACTTGTAATGATTTCGGGAGGTACCTTTCGGGAAGCTCACTACTAAAAGCAAATTGAAGCATCTTTACTGCCTCCAGAGTCAATGGTGTCTAACAACAAAGGGAGGAGCACGGTACAAAGGTTGTGCTTTCTTAGCTCTGGGATTTGCCCGTTCGAATGGAGAGACCACATACAAACTAGGCTTCAATTTAGACACACTACGTAGTGCACCTCCCTTTCGCCCCTTTCTTGTTCAAAAACAAAAAAAACAAAACCAGTTCATTAGTAACCACACCATAAGAACCAATAATTAGAAAAATTAATCAAGTGAAATACCTTCACAGCCTTGGAACAACCTCATTAGCAGCAACACTTTCATCACTCAACAATATGAATTTCTCAACTTGCGACGCTTTAGGCTGCTTGCAAGGAGACTTTTTCACAACTTTCACAGAAGGAGATTCAGAACATCTCTCATCTCCAATTTCCCCCTCAGCTTCTCCCGAATTCTCAACTTTGGCAGTCTTGACACATTCCAAGGTAGGAGAAATGGGTTCCCTAGGTTTTTCAACCTCACCCTTCTGATCGTTCTTTTTCAACTCAGCTGTAGGAGAAATGGGTTCCCTAGGCTGCTCCCTTGACAACGGATCACCTACAGTTGCTTTCACTGCCTCTATAAGGGACTTCACTGCAGTACCGATTTCGTCTCTAAAAGCCCGAAATTCGTTCTCCATTTTCACAACCCGGCTCATTAGCTCATTATCTCTAGAAGCAGCATCACCCATTGCCACTCTAAATTCTTGACCAAAGTTGTCAATTCTACCCTCCATGGTACTAAACCGAGCATCAATACGCTCATAGGAAGCAGCTCATCCCCGTCGGGTTTGTGCCGTTTCCCGTCTCCTTTCCCCGTTTCCTTGGAGGTGATTTCAAACCGGCATCCTCAGCTGATCTTTTCCCCGAACTGCTGGAAACCTATAAATTAATTAAAAAGGGAACCAAATGTACCATTAGCATGCTCCAACTTGTCAAAAGAATCAAATATACTATCAATCTTACCACTTTTGTTAACAATAACTCCACGTCTCCGCTCCCCCAACTCATCAAATCCAAACTCCCATCAACGGTTTGGAAAATACCATTTGCATGCTCCAAGAATATTAACTACAAAAAAAAAATACTATAATCAACATGATGATTAATCATTACAAATATGTAGAAAGTCGGGATTAGCAATTATTTACCTCCAAAAACAGCAAGCAACCCGGTATATACTCTCTTTTATAAGCATTATGGTCGCAGATGCATTTGACCAATTCATTGAAGCAAAAGGATGCCCAATTCTTCTTCGGAATGTCTGCAACATCGGTGACAGCGTATACCGAAGACAAGGAAATGTCCTCTCTTCTAGTTGGTACTAATAGCACCCCCATTACGTACAAAATAAACATTTGAAGAAATAGATCGTCGCTATCTTTCATCTTCGACAACTCCTTCTGCATTAAGCTTGTGGAAATCGCCTGTCGGCCACAATCACGTGTCGAAAACACTCTAAATGGTTCCATTCCTCTGATCTTCCCTCCACTTCTTCACCATTCAAGATGATATCAGTACCTCCCTCAGGCACACCCATAATTCGCTCGAAATCTTTGGCCGAAATATGCACTTCCAACCCATACGCCTTAATTGTGCTTTCTTCCAGATTAAAGCTCTTCACAAGTTTCTCCAACAACTCACGTTGTAGCTTTCTTGCTTTGACATCAAGAATACGACCAAAGCCACATCTCCTAATGGCCTCTGATTGACAAGCCTCTAAATTTGAGACTACTGAGAATACTTTCCTAGGAGAACATCGCGTGCTGAAAATTTGATGCCTCTTCGTCTTCATTATAGAACAATTTTAGCAAACTGCAAAATTAAAACAACAGAAAAATTATAAGCATGCCTTGAAACACGAATTATAAGCATGCCGAAGAGTACAAACAAAATACAAGTTCTAACTACCAGAAGAACTGAAAACCCCCTACATCAACACCTGAGTACACTAATTAACCATGAAAACACCCAGCTTTCATTAAATTTCACCCAAAATGCAAAATCTCACGGCCGTGACATGACCCGTGAGAAGCAAAGAGAAGTTTGCATATCTCCAGACAATCACACGGCTTATTCTCACGGCCGTGAGAATTTACAAAGGGGCCGTGAGAATTTACAAAGGGGCCCGTGATAATTTACAAAGGGGCCGTGAGAATTTACAAAGGGGCCCGTGATAATTTACAAAGGGGCCCGTGAGAATTTACAAAGGGGCCCGTGATAATTTACAAAGGGGCCGTGAGATGCCCATCATCCATATCCAAAAACACGGCTCATCTCACGGCCGTGACACTGTCGAAGGCAACCCGTGAAAACCTCTGGGAAACTGAGAAGTGTGTTTTTACATACACGGTCTCTCTCACGGCCTATCTCACAGCGTGATATTTCCAGAATTACATCCACGGTCTCTCTCACAGCCGTGATATTTCCAGAAACCACACACAACTTACAACTTTTGAGAGCTAAATAACATGACCACGAGCATAGCCACTAAGCTTTCCATAACCCATGACACCACCATAAACACTCGCTCTATTTCCATCCAAACTGGCTAAAACTGAAGTCACCCTGATTTCATGAAATAGTTCTTGACTAACACACTCAATTGCACCTTTCATGCAGCCAAGCAAGACCCTTCAATTAACAGTCCAAAATGTAATCAACAAGCAACGGTAACGACACTACAAACTGAAAATAATCAAACTGAGTATGAACTTTCCTATTCGATTTGCCTCCATAAAACACAAATCAAGTCTCTCCAATCAAAAACCCATTCCTTACATCCCTAAAACCCAATCAAGACCAAAGAACTAAAGAAGCAAGCAGAACAACCCCAGCACAGTTATTCTCTTCAGTTTGAAAGCAAAGGCAACAACGAAATGAACAACCCCAGCACAGTTTATGGGATTATATAAACCAAGACAGCTTCCTAGTTGACACTGAATCCTCCATTCACAAATACCTCCTAGGTCACATCAACGATCTGTGTGAGGAATGAAGTTATATGGTGGATGGCCACAACTATTTGCACAAAAAAGTGCAGACTTTCTGAAGCTTCATCAATCACGGAATGACTAAAGATGCCCCCATCTCAATCAAACTCGGCCGTGACAAAATACAGCACAACCAAGAACTACACTTGAGAGAGCTTCAATACTCATTGCACAAGACGTTAAAGCTAAAGAGATAGACAAACCAAATCACAGAAGAAGACACTGGAAAAGATGGAGCACATCAGAATTCCCACTTCACACAACTGATAAAACCGAGAGAGGGAAAGGAATATCGCATCTTATATCACCATATCCAATTGAGAATGCACATGAAGAAAGCAGTGGAGAAGCTTCAATTTCAATCCCAAATGGTTACACAGAATTGAGAAATTCTCTCTTCTACTTCCATAGTTCAATTTGGTAAAACGAGCATGGAATTTCAATCCTATGATTTGGCAACCGATCCTTAGTAGACAACTTGACATTTCCAGAGAAATAAGTCAGACATTCAAAGACACCATTATTGTACTCGAAGCTGCTCCAACAAATGCTCTAGAAGCTAGAAGCTAGAAATTGAATGTTTATCAAAGGGAGATAAGAATTTCAGCCACTTACATCGAATGAATGACTGAGTCGTCGTTTCAAATCGGAAATCGAATGCTTTATCACCCAATTCTCGCTATTGCAGGAGTTCTCCTACCCGGCGCTAGTTGACTCGTCGTTGTCGATTGGGCTTTTCGAGTCTTTGATTCCTTTTGAGTCTTCCTCTAGTAAAAGAGTCTCTGCCACCTTCAGAATTCAAGTCCTCTTTGTCGTCGCCACTGCTCACCCCCTTTACTATCTACGAACAGACCCACCGCGAAACACAATCCCAGGAGAGGAAAGTTGAAAAACGATCAGACCCACCGCAAAACACAATCCCAGGAGAGGAAAGTTGAAAAACGATCAGACCCACCGCACAATCTCACCGTTTCCGTCGCCGATGCTCAAGCCCTTCAATATCGACGAAGAGACCCACCGCGGAAGAGCACAGTTCACAATCGCGAAAGGGTAAAGTTGAAACCCCCCAATTTCTTTCTTCTCACAACGTCGCTGTCGCCCTAGATGCAGGTTCGCCGTCGCCGTCGCACTATTTCAAATGCAGGTTCGCCGTCGCCGCGGAAGAGACGCTCTGAAATTCCACCTCGGAAGAGAAGCTCTGAATTTCGACGAGCTCGATCGCCTTTTTTTTTGATGCGGTGAAGGGTTTCTGTTTTGATGCAGAGCTCGATCGCCTTTACCCGACTGGATTTCAATTTTTTTTAAAATGATTGTGTAACGAACCGGTGCAACAGGTTACCAGTCCACAAGTGAAAATAATAATAATTAAATAACTTCAATCCAATGGCTGATATTTTATAACAAGATCTAATGGCTCTAAGTATATTAAAGCATGGGTACTATATAGCATACTAAAATGCCTCATATATATATATTAATTTTAATTAATTATCATTTAAAACAAAATAAAAATATTTGGGAACACTGGTATGTCTTTCGTCCTTTCCCTCCCTCTCCTCCATCCAGGAAAACTGGTATCCTCTTCCTTCCTCTCCGGCATTTCATGGTGTCCTTGTGGCTGGTGTTTTTTTGTCTGCTACTTGTCGAGAGGGGTTGATCTCTGCTGGCGACGTTGTCCTCTTTATCAATTATATTGTATCAGATCTTTAAACCTCGGCTTAATTGGGAACATAAATAAATTGTACATTCAAAGTCTGTATGTGTTCATATAAGTTCATTTAAAAAATATTATTGTGTAGATTGGATTTTCTTATATAATAAAGTTATTTTAATTTTGAGTTCAAACAAAAGAGACGAGTCATTAAAAAATATTATTGTGTAGATTGGATAGTCATTTGTTTTAATAACTTGTAGTTTTTTTATGACGTATTTCTTTGCCAGTTACATATATCGATGAGGAGTTAATTTTTTTCTTTTAACCAAGCCGAGTCCAAAGACATGGAACAACGACCCAATTACAAGAGCGACGCTAATAAACTAAAATACGGAGAAGAAGACACGGTACAGACAGAAAGGACATAAAAAGGCGGGAAAAGTCCACCTCCAAGATCGCCGCGAATGGGAAGCTTCCTTCGATGAAGCACGTAAATTGACTAGGCGCCTTTGTTAACACAAACCCTGACTAGCGGGTAACAATTTACTCGGACAACATACACAACAGCTAGCATTTCTTGATTAATTAAGCTCCGCAAAAGTTGACCTGTTCATACCTAGCACAGCACTCCTCTGTCCCGAACTGAGCTCCATCTTTGCTCGGACAATTTTTGTTCATCAGAACAGTCGCTCTTTTTAAGCAATTACCGCAGTTGATATCATTGCTGGGATCATGGCCATCAGCACAAGAAGAATGTTTGTAGGCGATTGGTACTGCTCCTGTAGCATGATTGTCGTCCTCATAGACCGCAGTGCACTTTGTAACGGTTGTGAGGCTCTTTAGTATTTTTTGTTGGGCGGTCCGAGGTATATCGAAATCGGTCACACTACAAAACCATACGTTGGAGGCAGCGCACATTGGATTGAGGGCAGAGATGATTGCACCGCCGGGGAAGCCTCCGTTGATCATTGTCACAATTAGTGACCACATCAGCAATGTGGCCATTATTCGAGCATCCAAGCAACGAACCTGCACGCCCATCTCTTTCTCTGTCTGTTTCTCTCGGTTGGCTTAGCTAATTATATGTGTTCTGAGTAAATCGTGCTGGCTTTATAATGTTGGGAGATGGATGAGTTTGTTGGCTTGCAATATTATATCTTTGGAGTGGGATAGACAGCATTCTCATCGTCCGAATAAACTAATTGGGCAGACAAAATCCAAGCGTAGGAATTTTAGGTTAATTGTCAGCCAACCTACAAACACCGCCTCTTCTCTCGTTGCAAACCCCGGCGGCAAGATACCCTAAAAGGCTAAAACATATCCCATATAGACACATACGTATCTTGCACATAAGCACTTATGTGCCGGAATTCCAATTCATATATATATCCAACATAATCTTGAAGACTACCACCCAACCATGGCGGTAAAATATAAACTATTCTATTTCTTTTATGAATTAGATGAGTATCCGGAAACTTATTACTCTTCTTATCTTCTTTTGTGAATAACCAAAGTATATATATGGGATCTTCTATAATATCCACGCAAAATCTAGGGTTTCCGGAAGTAATTGAGAGCTCAAGACTGATTGGTCTGCTACAAATCGAGAGATAGAAGGATGCGGATACAATGATGGAAAAGGGAAGCAACGGGGTGATAAAAAGTTTTTTTTTTTTAAGCGGGGATAATTTTTTGGGTTAATTTCTTATTTTCGCTTGAACTATGACCATATAATCAATTTTGACACGTGATTTTAGAATTAACATCATGACCTCAACTATGCAGCATATAAACTAAATTGGCCCCACACATGCTTTGACCGTCAATTTGGATGGTCAACACACCATGTCATTGCCTAGTTAGCCTAAAAATTATTAAAAAATTAAAATTCAAATTATTTTTCTAATTATTTTTTCTAATTATTATTATTTATCTATTTTTTACCCAAACCTTTTTCAGATTCTTTTATTTTAACCAAACCTATAGAAATTTTATTTATTATCCAAACGTATTATAATTTATCAAAGTCTGCGCATTCATTCTGTTACTGTTACTTATTTCGTCCACGTGAGAGGTGGGATTTTGTTTTGTTTTTTGATAATCTTTTTATTAAAAATAGTAAATGATGGTATTCTGACCGCCACGTAGGAAGTCAACTCATTATGGTCATACTTAGTCAGCATTACTAACAGAAAAGTTGACGGAGAGTTAACGTTTGGATAATTTTTAGGAATTCAATAGGTTTGGTTAAAATAAAAAAATCTGAAAAAGCTTTGGGTAAAAAATAGACATTGCCCAATTTTTTTTTAACATCTCACCAAAGTATGAGATATTTTATCATTTTGAGAGTGACATATACAATGGAACGGGTCTAGCGGGTCGACCCAAAAACCAACCCAACCCGACCCAAAAACTACGGGTTAATCGGTTTCGGGTCATTCCGGTTTCGGGTTAAAAAAACCTCAACCCATTCTCTATTTTTTGGGCGGTTTCGGGTCGGGTCAATGAATCGGGTTCTCATTTGCCAGTTCTACATAGGGTCAATTTATTTCTTTTTTACATGCTGATCATATAAAAAAATTAACCAAATTTTTTAAAATCCACACCAGAGCAAATGCAATTGCATATATTCTGAAGTTGAATCATTCCCTAGAAGCTTGGAAATGATGTTTCGCCAACGGATACTTTCAAGCAAATTTCAAATAAAAGAGTTGGAGGGTTCTATTATTAAGATCTGTTAAAAATTGACTTATCTTTATTATTTGTAATCAAACAATATAAAACTAGCAAACTCCTGTTCGCTATCGATAGCTTCGCTTATCAGTTAAATAAATATTTTAAAGAGTAATAGTTTTAAGGGCAATGTCTATTTTTTTATTCAAATCTTTTTCAGATTTTTTTATATTATCCCAATCTATTAAAATTCTATTAATTAACCAAATCTTTCATAATAGATCAAAATATTAACCATTTTTATGCTAAAATTTTGGAATGTTGACATTCATGTGTCTCTTCCAAGTCAGTATCATGTTGTCAAGTCAATATTACTAACAAATTTACTAACTGAAAGTTAACATTTGGCTAATTCTTAGTATTTCGATAGGTTTGGGTAATATAAAAGAATTTGAAAAAGATTTGGTTAAAAAATAGGCATTACCCTAGTTCTAATGTTGACCAAAAAGTTAAAGTAATCTTATTTCTCTCTTATTCATTCTATTCAAAAGTAATCTTAATGTTCTATCGAGTTGGGGTATGGCTTCCATTTGGAAAGAACGTTGTGCAAGAGTTTTCACAACGATTAAAAAGAGCAGCACAGAGTTATTGTGTTGCGGGTACAATTAGCGGTTAAAAGGGTAGTTCAGTATTTTAGTAGGTTTAGTCGATTAAGATTTCTGGTCAGCGTCTATATAATGTACTTTAGTTTTATCATTAGGGATATCAATGAAAAATCTAATCAAAGTATTGTTAGAAATATCCTTCCTTTCTCTAGTCTCTTCCAAGAACTCTAATCCCCAATTCTAAATCACTCAATTCTTCCCAATTCTCTTCTCAATCAGTCTAAACTCTTTCCGAACTCTATCTTGTTACGTTAATCCCGGTGCTCGAGATCCGTGCCTACAACATATTACAGCAGATAAAGGAAGAAGTATTCTTTTATTGTGAATGAAACTTTGAGTTGTCCAATGTTTTGAGTAATTATCCAATGTATTTTGAAGCTTTGCATAGTACATGATAGCATGAGTAGTAGTTAGAAAGTAGTCTGCTTATAGTTTCCTAGTACATAGTTTCCTAGTAACTATTGTACTTTGGATTCCCTGCCAAAAGCGCAGTCTGTTTTCGAGGAGGCTTGTTTATCAAGCTTGAGCTCATAAAAGGAACAACAATTACGGGGAAAAATGATTAAAAAGATTTCTAACATAAAATATGAATACAAATTCTAAAAATTAAAAAGTATTTAAGGTGAATCCGGCTAGATTTATTTTATGTTAAATAATAATATTTTTCAATTTGTTTTTTTATAATGATATAAATGAAAGAAAATTATGTTTTCTAGAAAAAGAATAATATATGGTGATAATTTTGTATTTTCAAATCGGAGCTTCTGCTTTTAAACTACGAAAAAATTCAACTTTTTTAAAAGTGAAACTTAAGAGGTATTTGGCTTGGTTTCAATTTTTGAAACATAAAACTTCTAAAATACTGGCAAAACATATTCGTACTCTTTTGCCTTTTTTTCTTTTTTTGGGTTGAGGTAATCGTGGTTCTCCTTTATGAAATTTTTGGTCTGGTACAGGTTTGAGGAGGTTCAAAACGCATTGATCGGGTCAAATTAGGTTGGATACCCATCAGTTCAATTGTCTTCCTCAAACAAAAGGAAAAAGCAAAATGAAAAACACTAAAGCTAAAGCTTGCTACCAACTCAAAACTCGTCAACACCAGGTTCAACTCGCTTTGAGCTGACTGAATGGAAGTTTTGGAAAAATTCACACCTGACACAACCCGCCAATTAAAAAAACATATAAAACTCTCGCTCTAGCCGAAAACCTGTAAAACCAGGTTCAAGTCGCTTCGGTCGGATCGAATTTGGTTGGATACTCATGCGTTTGGACTCAAATGTCCTTCTAACCAAAAGGAAAAAAGATAAAAATTATTAAGCGGATAAAACTCGTTGATGACCCTAAACTCTCAACACTGCGTTTAACTCGCCCTGACCTGGTCGACCCTGTTTGACGAATTCACAATTTATCCAACCTGTCAATTTATCCAACACCAGGTTCAACTCGCCTTGAGCTGACTGAATGGAAGTTTTGGAAAAATTCACACCTGACACAACCCGCTAATTAAAAAAACAGATAAAACTCTCGCTCTAGCCGAAAACCTGTAAAACCAGGTTCAAGTCGCTTCGGTCGGATCGAATTTGGTTGGATACTCATGCGTTTGGACTCAAATGTCATTCTAACCAAAAGGAAAAAAGATAAAAATTATTAAGCGGATAAAACTCGTTGATGACCCGAAACTCTCAACACTGCGTTTAATTCGCCCTGATCTGGTCGACCCTGTTTGACGAATTCACAATTTATCCAACCTGTCAATTACAAAAACGGATAAAATTCACTCTCGATACAAAACGCGTCAACAATGGGCCAGAGTTAAATTGTCATTCTCAACGAAAAGGAAAATGTGAAATAGAAAAATATCAAAGCGCACAAAACTCGATTTCGATCTAAGACTGGTCAACAACGTGTTCAACTATCTTTGATAAATTTTTAACAAATTAAGACATGGTCCAACCTGCCAACTACAAAAGCAGATAAAGCTCGCTCACAATTCAATACTCGTCAATACATTAGATTCGGGTTCAATTGTCTTCCCAACCAAAAGAGAAAAAAAGAAATTTATAATACTAAAGTCGGTTTCAAGTCGCTTTGACCGGATCGAATTGGGTTGGATACCCATGGATTTGGGTTCAATTGTGATCATGTTCAAGAAAAAGTAAAAAAAGATAGAAAAAAACACTAAAGCGGACGAAACTTGATTCCAATGTAAAACTCGCCAAAATTGATTAGAATTGGTATGGATTTTTTATAGTGACATTGGGGAACGGTGGAGGGGGACAACTTAGGATTCTGTTGACAGTGTTTTGAGAAGGTTGTGAATTGGTGAGTGGTATTGAGGATTGGACAGAGCATATCTAGTGTGGATCTTTGGTCGCAGCCATGGCAAACGGTGGAATAGGACACCTCAAGATCCCACCAACAGTGTTTCGAGTTGGTTTGAGAAATGGTGTGAAAAGCGATGATTTGGGTCAAGTTAGGATACCCACGTGTTTGGGTTCAATTGCGATCATGCTCAACAAAAAGAAAAAAAGAAACAGATAAAACACTAAAGGGGATGAAATTTGGTCTTGATACAAAACTCGTGGTAGCATCCTTGGGAAACGGTGGTGGGGAACAATTTAGAATTGCGTCGACAGTATTTTGAGTGGGCTGGGAAATGGTGGCCAAAAGCGATAATTTATGCAAAAA